ATAAGTAATTTTCCCCCCCCCCCCCCCCCCCCCCAAAAAAAAAAAGCAGCCACAAGTATGGCAGGTTAAAACAGAATATTTCTATTTATGGCTATTTATTTAGGATTCCAACTGAATAAAAAAAAAAACAATTATGTAAAGTGAAATGGGAAAACATAGGTATCCTGGGGAAAACGTTATTTTGCTATTATACTTTCAAATAACCTGCAGGCAGAATACAGTCATATATTGGGAACAAAATGAAATACATTTAAATTAAGATTTTCCTTATCTTCAAAATAAGGCCCCTCTTCTTTGGAGAGCCTTTATACATATTCCTTCTGCCAGATCTGAATGTGCCAGTTTTGTGACATTGCAGCTAATTAATTAACTAGCAGTTTTTGATGAATATTAATGAGGCATTACCAATATTTAAACATAAACGAATGCATTGTTATTAACTGGTAAATTCTTTAGGATGGCTGTATTCAATGTGCAGTTATCAAGGGCACTTAGATGAATTTAGTGTATGAATGTTAGCATTAGCTTTCCTCCATCTGCATGTGGTTAAAATTCAGACCAATATAATGGTCTTGTTGATTGGCAAAATGTAGCATCTGTTCTTCTCATTTGCAGTGCCATAGAGATATTCATTGCCCTATCCCTTGCCAGGGTTTTGTATCCGCTTTTCGTTATACTCTGTATAAAATTATTTAAAAAAATTATCAAAAGTGATCCCTGTGTTGACAATGACAGTTTGATATACCGTTTCTTAAAGTGACATTAAACATTCAGATTTTTTAACATAAACCAATACTGTAATGTGTGCCTTACTGTAATCCATGGTTGTTTCCCTTCTCTTTGCTGCTCTTCCTTTTAAATCCTCATGTCTTCTCATGCTGGACAGAACTTCCCTTTTCAGCTCAGGGCCTCTTCCTGTAGAGCTGGCTCAGGTTACAAGCCTATAGAAACGTATACACAGACACCGTGTATCCATTCCTGAGACAAGGCAGTCTTCTGCAAAACAGAAGTTCTGCAGAGCATGAGAACAGATACAGATTTAAAAGGAAGAGCAGCAAAGAGAAGGGAAACTACCATGGATTACAGTAAGGCACACATTACAGTATTGTTTTATGTTAAAAAATCTGAGGGTTTAATGTCACTTTAAAGCAGATCTGGACTATAACTAGATGATATTTCGTTGGTTAAAGCATAGTGTCTGCTAAACCAGCGGTCGCCAACCGGTGGTCCGCCAGAAAATTTTGGTGGTCCCCGGGCCCCTCTGGTGCCGTGCAGGCTGGGCCGTCATTGAAGCGGCACTGAGGCTCTGGGTCTGCCACTCACTGACTCAAGCAGCGGCTGTTACAAGGAATGCGCGGCTCTCAGTACAGTGCGGGCTCTGCAGAAGGCAGGGCATCTCGTCAGTACCCGGACTGAGAAGGCTGCGGGACATAGAAAAAGTGGGGAGAAGCCAGGTAATAGTGGATCTGTGTAGGGGAAGGGGGGTGGTTGGGGGCAGTGCTGAAGCTAGGGAGGGCATGTACCCCGAGCGCCGCCGGCTGGGCCAGTGGCAGAATCAATAGGGGGGTAACAATTAATATTTTTTGGTTCCTCGTATATAAATATATTCTCATATGTGTGTGTGTGTATATATATATATATACACACACACACACACACACACACACACACACACACACACACACGAGAATATATTTATTTACTCCAGCCTTTCTTAGCCACTTCCTGTCTGCATTGCTAATGGTGGGCTCCTTGATGGTGATAACAGTGGAAAATGTCTACATATTGAGCTCCTGCATGGTTGCTTGTTGAGGCTGGTTTACTAAAGAAGTTAAGAATCTATACAGGAAAAAAATTGTAACAAAACACAGGGCAGGCACCACCTCCTAGTGCAGTATGTTTATTGACCAAATTATTAAATTAAAGAGTAAAAAGGTTCTACTCACAATTGCTAAAGGAAACACGGCATATTAATAACAGAGTCCGATGTTCCAAGAATGCTGTATAATGGTAGGTGCACCCAACGGTCAAGGTCTTGCTCTGAAGAAGGGGTTGGTTACCCCAAAACACATTAGCACAGCACTCCATTGGGGTGCACCTACCATTATACAGCGTTCTTGGACCATCAGACTCTTTTATTGATATGCCTGGTTTCCTTTAGGAATAGTGAGTAGAACCTTTTTACTCTTTAATTTCATC